AGGTATTAGTGAGCTCCTCGAAAGACAACTACAAAAGCACCGGAAACAGACTGCACACAAACCGATAACTACGTTGCGCACCCAGATTGTACACCCTAAGGACAGGGTTGGCCATTTCAACACAAAAATGTACTAATCTATATCCCCGATCTAGATCCCCGGCAAAACGTCGAGGCCGATAGCTCAATGGTTAGGGCGTTCGCCGCTGACCGGAGAGACGCGGGTTTGAATCTCGAGTGTGGTGGCAATTTCCGCGGCTACACTGGAGTTAGGTATCTGTATCTCATGAGACCTAATGAGGTAGAAATACGTATCATGCAAGTCCCACTGTTCTGCCGGTAATGCCTACACATACAGAAAAGAAGTCGTCTACGAAATACTGTGTACCAGTTGTGATACAGTCTATTGTGGTCAAACGGAAAGAGCTCTATTCACCCCCCATACATGAACACCAGTTAGCGGTGAAGAGACGAGACCACTTATCGGAGGCTGTCATGCACACACTAGACACAGAACACGCATTTACAGGGGAGAAAACCCAAATCGTTGGCGCCTGCCCAACTAGGAAGTGCCGCGAATTCTTGGAGGCAATGCACTCAGACGAGGAATGCATCAACAGGCATATCAATTTGGACGTGAAGAACAAATCTCTCAAGGTCAGATGGAAGCCAAAACAGCGAATTCGTGTGACAAAAATTGCCCCCGCCCGGACCGGATCACAGCTATATTCCCCACTGACCGCATAATTAAATGCGGTTGAAGGTTATCCTCCTACACTCTGACCCACCGTATAATCTTTGTTAGTCATCGTTTTGAATTAACTGTTTTTGCACAACTCCCAATTTGTCTGACGACGAGCTGGGGAACCAGACTAGAAAATTCACACAATAAACATTATGCTTTCCCAAATGACTTTATCGTTAACAAGCTATATAAGTGCTAGATAGACCCATTCTGGCGGAATGCCACAGCAAATACCCCGCTTAGGTGGCCTCGTCGTAGGGCATTTTTAAAAGTACCCCGCCGCTAC